AAGAGGCATGGGGGGGGGGGTTGCTCAACTGCAACCAAGGACAGCATGTAATGATCAGTGTATAAGATATGTGCAAATATCTAATTGTAAGGCTAAAATCATGTATCCGATTGTTAAGGATCCCTTACATAAAGCGTGCAATGGGGGCAATTGTGATAATGATGTACTCTGGCCGTACATGCTCAGATCACGCTGCATGGGGATGTCAACAAAAATATCCCATGACCTTCCCTTATGGGTGACTTTAGTCTCACCACTGCACAACATCAGATGGAATTTGCCAACTATTCCTATTATGCAAGAAAACATGTCCTATTATTACATCGAGATAAGGTGTGACAAAGATATTATGGACACCCAGACCACACAGATCATATGTGAGGGAATCCACACAAGGCTTTCAAATTATTGTAGATTTGTTTTACTACTTATCTACAGTATTTAATCAAATAATTCTTACTGTGATAATGAACAAGCTTTGACTTGTACACTGAGTGGCCAGATTATTATGACCACCTGACGTTTGTAGGGCAGAACGGAGAGTGGCAAGACTGGTACAAGACAACAGAAGGGCAACAGCGCCGTGTCAGATTCCTCGCATCACCTTTCAACATCTCGTGGAGTCACGAGGCGGCCCAACGAAGTACTGATGGGGTGGTCATAATAATCTGGCCACTCAGTGTATATTACTGGTATAAAAGCCGTGGTCACCTCACGTCTTTTTGATGTATATAATCTTATCGATGTGTGTTGGGGCCTATTCACCTGTGTCGGATTTCTGCACTAAGGCCCCCTTCAGACCTTTGCGGCCCTTTGTAGTGCTTTACTGCAAACGCTTTACATGTGGTATTTTACATTTTAATGTTTGTTAAGGTAGCCCATTTATTCTTGCACCTACTTGCATGGGTTAGGCATCACAGAAAGTACCTTGCAATGCGGACACATTACACAACGCATTGGTTCTAAAGGGGCCCTAAAACCTATGCACTTTACTGCAAGGAAATGCATTTCGAGTAGAAATCCCATGTATTTTCTGTTTCTGGTTTACATCTACAGTATGTGCTGCTTTTGCGTGTTTGGAAAGGGAAATCATATATTGTGGTGTAGTGGTTAGTGCTTCTGCCTTGCAGCACTGGGAGTCCCTGGTTCAAATCCCAGCCGGGACAGTATCTGCAAGGAGTTTGCATGTTTGCATGTGCTTGTGTGGGTTTCCTCTGGGTTCCTCCCAAAGACATGCTGGTAGGTTAATTGGCTCCTGTCTAAATTGTCCCTCATATGCATGTGAGATAGGGAACTTGCATTGTAAGCTCCTTGAGGGCAGGGACTGATGTGAATGTGCACTGTGTAAGGCGCTGCACAAATTGTCAGCTCTATATAAATGGCAATAATAATAAATACAAGCACACATTGGTAGCCATGTTTGCTTATTCCATATGCAGCCTCCACTTCCTGCTTAGTTTTGTTGCTTAGCTCCCAAATGTCTCTGATTTGGAGGTACTGTCACCCCAATGTCCCTCATTTGGAAACAAATCCATCTGTCCCTCATTTGGAACCTTATCCCTTTGTTCATTGTTTCTCCTCAGATTTCTCTTTTTGTTTCTGTTGGAAAGACCTCTATAAAATTGTTCGATTTCCCTACCAAATGTGTTATACATGAAAACTTTCGTCCAACCTTGATATTATTTCACTTGTTATTTTGAAAAGCCAATATAAATGAACAATTAGTAGTGAAAAAGGTGCTTGTAGGTGTAACCAATCATTTTTTCAGGTATTCTTCATGGTTTCTGGTAGGGGTGTCTCCTTTGCCTACGTACGTTGCACTAAAATTGGTTCCTCTTTCTCATCTCTGAAAGCTGAGAAGTGTGGTGTTGCCCACTGTGCCTTGATGTTCCTCTCTCTGGCCAAGGAAGCCCATTGGTCAGGTGTGACGGAATAATTTTAAGGATCTCTCGATATGCTCAAAATTGTATCTCAGCATTAGGTGATTATGAGTGATTACAGTGGTATACAAGTACAGTACTCACCACTGCTGGGTCTAGGTCCTTTAACACGCAAAGTACAACCCTTCTGACTTTTTTGCCCCTCCTGCCCGTCTCTTCTGCCTACCCATCAGCTCAGCCCTGGTAGCTACTAATGCAGACCTGGATAAATTCCAGGTCCTCAAATTCCAGGAGCGCCTTAAAAATTACAGCTTACACCCAACTTTTCAGGTTTCCTCTAGTTGTTGTCAATGAAGCTGGCCCCTAAAACAAATCCAGCTGGTTCCCAGATTAGACAGACTGGCTCTTGAATCCCTGAATTCCATATATACTGTATTTGTTCATCCCCTAAATTAGTGAGCTTTCAATCAGTATATATATCCCTGGTGCCCAACCTGTGGCCCAAGAGCCACATGGGCCACTTTTGTACTTCTTGTCTGGCCCCTGGGCCACTGCAGTCAGTAGTGGAAGCACTGACTTGTGACGGGACTGCAATGGAAGTGATCTCTAACAGTATCTTGTAACACGTTCCCAGCCTCTGTGTCCTGCAGCATGTCTCCGGTCTCCACCACATCGGTAGCATGGCCACAGTCTTTGACCATCTTACGTAGTATGTAGTCGTCTGTAGCATCTTATACATAACTGATCATTACATGCTGCCCTTGGCTGCAGTTGAGCAGCCCCCCACCCCATGCCTTATAAACTGACAGCCATTGGTATATATGATACAGTTTACATGGATGTACCATACGGTGAGCATGTAAAAATTGATCAAAAATGCTCTACGGCATAACGTCTGTATTCTAGTCTTGTAGTAGATGGTTGATCCCCGTCTCTCCAGGGTGGACACAGAGGTATTTCCTGTGTGATTCTGCTTTTTTTAACTCATGTTTGCAGAGATTAGGATGCCAGTCATTAGCACTGTGTGTTTGGCCAAATCTCCTAGTGATAAGATTACTGAGAGGTTGACAGGGAGGTGCAATGTAAAGACTGGAAAGTGAAAGCAGAAGGACAACGTGTGTATGTAAACAGAGCCCAGCTGACCGGGGAGGGGAGATTCCTTATCCTCAGAACAGTTCTTGATGAAGTCATGCAAAACCTTCTATGGCCTTCAAGTCACCACAGCAATAAAGTGTTGGCAAGCCAATTAAGTAGGGTATACATGGACCTATTTTTTGGTATTCAACCCACCGGCTGATCGAAAAAAAATAAAACAGATTCCACCATCCATGCTGAACAGCATGAATGGACGAGTCCCCCGCTATCTCTATTGTAGTCTGACAGCGGCCGCTGTCCGAAAACTTGGCTGCAAGCTCTCTTCCGCCAGCAGTTTTCCAACATGTTACTTCGGCAAAAGTTGATTGAATGATTTAACGTCTTCTGAAAGAAGGTGGCCGCTGTCAGAATACAATGGAGACAGCAGGGAATTCCACCGTTCACGCCTGTAAGCATTTATCTGTTTATATATTCTTTGTTCAGCCCGCGGGTTAAACTAAGAAAATATAACCATATATACTTAAAGTGACATTAAACACTCAGATTTTTTAACATAAAACAATACTGTAATGTGCGCCTTACTGTAATCCATGGTTGTTTCCATTCTCTTTGCTGCTCTTCCTTTTAAATCCTCATGTCTTCTCATGCTCTGCAGAACTTCCCTTTGCAGCTCAGGGCCTCTTCCTGTAGTGCTGGCTCAGATTACAAGCCTATACAAACCTGCACACAGACACCGTGTATCCATTCCTGAGACAAGGCAGTCTGCTGCAAAACAGAAGTTCTGCCCAGCATGAGAACAGATACAGATTTAAAAGGAAGAGCAGCAAAGAGAAGGGAAACTACCATGGATTACAGTAAGGCGCACATTACAGTATTGGTTTATGTTAAAAAATCTGAGGGTTTAATGTCACTTTAAGTTACCCGTTCACACCATAGCGTACTGGAAACGCAAACTGCAGAATTTGTTTGCCATGTGTTCCCATCGATTTTCATTGGGTTCCTGGATGCGCAACAAACGCAGGAAAATAGTGCATGTAGCAAATTCTGCGACATGCGTTGCTTGTTTTTTTTTTCTTGCATGTTTGGGCATGTGGGAAAAACGCGCATTTTCCCACCCACGTTTGGGGGTGCCATTAACTCGTAACATTCAGCGAATGCGGTGGTGTGAACGGGGCCATGCACGGCTCAATTAATGTCTGATTCCTGTTGAATGGTAATTAGGCCGGGTTTGGTGTGAACCCATTTTGCCCAAGCCTGCTGAAAACTCTGACCACCACCCTCTCCTCCCGACCCAATCAGTTGCAGGGATGCACATTTTCTTCCCCACAGCTATACATCACCAAGGGGCGGGGAAAGCCCCACCGCCACTGATTTGGTCAGGAGGAGAAGGATGGCGGTGAGAATTTTGAGCAGCCTTGGGTGAACTCAAGTGAACTGGGCCGCTCTCAGAATACACAAACAATGATGGCGGCTCCTTGGCTGTCATCACTGTTGGCCTGAAACAGTTTTCAACCGCCTCCTTCAATTTTCTGATCAAAGGATGCCGGACGGAAGGGTGGTGACAGGGCCACCCACTGAGCAAATTTTGAATGGTTCATCAAAAACCATCCCACAGTTCACACGGTGTATGGCCAGCTTAAGGCCCCTTTCACATGGATGGTGAAACCAGATCCGTCTGTCAGTTTTTCAGGCGGGTCTAGTAGTGTAACCCTATGCGCACCTGATTACCTCAGAGTCCGTTTAAAAGGGAAGGTTTGCGTCCTTTTTTGTTTTTGCAGAACTAAACGTGACGGATCGGCGGTAATTGGATTGAAACGGACACATGTCTGCTTACATGCGACTGCCCATAGACCTAACATGGGTCTATCGCAAGATGGGGGAGGGGGGAACTGAACAGACATAGATGCCACAAAATTGGAATTCTTTCCGTTGTGCTCTGATCAGCAGGGGATCTGTACACGGAACCCCTTTATGGACCCCTTTCACGGATCCCCTGCTGATCGGAGCGGATGCCGCCCGGGTGAAAGGCAGACAAAGGAAATGGTTTGCAGAATTGTAGTCTGGGAGATGTGCTTTGTGCTCCGGGCCTGGTAATTGTCGCCCTTTTGTCTGCGATGGAATTTTCCAGCCTCCTGGACGGGTGTAACGTAGGAAATGAAATTCGGAGGAATGAAGCAAAGCTTGGAGGTTGGAATGTGGTGACACGCATAGCTCTCTGTATCCATAGCAACGGGGCGCCTCATGGTAATACTGCAGCCCTCGTGTATGACTGAGTCTGAGAGAAGACCTGTCCGTGCTGGTCACGGGGCACCCAATCAACTGGTAACTCCCAAAATATGGGATCACTTATCTATGGAAAAATATAATTTTTCTTAAAGCTGACACTCGCCCATCGAGGAGTTTTGATATTTGCATAACTCCTCCCAAAAGGAAGCTATGTACAGCACTCTGCCGGCCCCTCCCACCAGCCTGCATGGCATAGAGGAGAACAGAGATCCAGTGTTAATGTCACGGGGTTGAAAATAAAGGATGGAATGGTTATAGTCATGAATGTCATTAGAACGTTGATGAGGTGGGAGGGAGGAACCAGAGAAGGCAAAATATAAGCGGGTTAAACTTTAAGCTGGTGGAAGAGACATGTTTGTAGTGCATAGGAAACTATTCATTCTGCATTGTATTCATTATATATGATTATGGGGACTTGTATTGTACTGAGGAGCCTGTGCGATATTTCTGTAAATTTATCCCTTTTGGGTTTTTTTTCCAGCCGATCCATGAGCCCAGACTTCCAGCACTACAGCTTCAGAATGCCTAATATTGGGTTCCAGAACCTCCCCCTCAACATCTACATTGTGGTGTTTGGCACGGCGATATTCGTATTCATCCTGAGCCTGCTCTTCTGCTGCTATCTAATCCGGTACGTCTGCTGTTCAGCTTTAAAATGAGTTGCACCGCAATGCGTTTAACACATGGTGCAGTGCGTCCCCCCCCCCCTTTTTTTTTTTTCCTGTCATTCCACGCACTGTAAAAAGATGCAGCTTGTGCTTCTCTTTTAAATACAATCGGAGTCTGAATGCAATGAGGAGCATTCATCAAGCATATCAGCAACACAATTACACAAATCCTGCTGCCTTTTATTTAGGAAAGCCTATGGGAGAGTTTTCTTTGTATTAGTATTTCTGAGCAGGTCTGACACAGATTTACCTATGAAGATGAGACAGGTTTTCCCTCTAAGTGGGCGCACAGTCAAGATGTGATCAGGGGCAGGTTTTATTCTGTTGCAGTAATGCTGTAGAGTAGCCCAGGGAGGCATTTATGAATCAAGCTATTATATAAAATCTTTCTCCTAATTTGTCTTGCTGCTCCTGTTTAGTACTTTCTTGCTGTGCAACAGATGCTTTAAATGCCCCTCCCCCAATGTTTTTTATGTCTGTCCTTGCTTTGGGGTTGCATTGAGCAATGCATACCCGGGCTGGAGGTGTGAACAAGCCCTTTGAGGACTGCACCAGTAGTTTGTCACATGTGGCATTTACCAGAAGGCTAGCGGTCTCCAAGCCAGGCTGTATTATAGGTACGGAGTTGTAGTTGTCCATTCTTTGGGCTGTCGGTATGTTAGAAAGTGCAGTAGGCTTATCTCTAGAAGGCGATCTCTTGTAACACAGATCACCTGAACCAGATCATGGGGGCTCCATAGCCAGATT